AGTTAACATGGATGGGTCATTTTCATGGGCTTTTCATGTATGTAACATCCTTCCAGACCCATCCACCTCATCTGGTCAAACGAAAACGTGTCACACCAGGTGGCCGTGAAGCTATCGATGGCCAAGTCCAATCCTGGCAATGGCAAGTTGTGGACAGATTGTTTGAGCCTGAGAGGTGAAGGAAATACGCTTATATATACATCACGAAGAAAATCATCCTCACTGGAAGCCAAGCGTGAGAGTGATTAAACAAACAACAAAAACATGAATATTGTGAGGATCCAACACCCTGCTATGCAGCCTGCTAGCTCTGCACTATGTAGAAACTCTTCCTTGACTGCACTTGACTCGCGCAAAGGTTCCAATGATGCATGGGGGGTTGAAAGCCACGCGAAAGCCGTGACCAAATGCTTTCCCAAAAGTCCAACATCCTGGAGGATTGATTTCGGATTGATAACTCTTTCTTGCTTTGATGGTTGATTATCGTTGGCGCATGGACGTTCTTGGTTTGATAGAGTGATTTGTCTGGTGAGTTTCAATGGTCCCCCGTTTACGGGAAAGAAGAAAAACGAACCTCAAAGCCGAAGTGGACTGCGACATGCTTGCTACAGAAAACAAATCACTGTCCCGTTGTGGGACTTCCTCCCGGAAGAATGGGAAGTCCCACACCGAGATTGGCCCAAACAATCCATATCCAGCAGAGGTGGGTCAGAACCCTAGTTCGACTATCCTATAGATACCCCTGGTTACGGGTCCTATAAGGTCACTTAACCATCTTAAGCTCTGTAGGACATTATCACATATTGTAATATTTGCCTACATACGTCAGGGTGGTTTGGAGATATTTGGAGGGTGTAGGCTCCTGTCTCATGGATGGTTGGGGAATGTTGAGGATATGAACAAGCACACACACACAAACGCTGAGGTTCATGATGAAATGACACCCAATTTACACAATGACAAGTGTACATGGAAATGGACATGAAGGATCATGAAGGCATATGTATTCAGTGTAAGCCTTCTACCGCGACTCAGCGCCCAAGCTCAAGGGCTGTCGAAAAGAGTCGAGAGGGCAAATACACCGCGTCTCGTGAGTTGAGAGGAGAAAGGAGACGACTGCGACCGCGAAAAAATAACGGCTTGGCTTGCGAGCTTTCCATGTTGCTTCAGATGTCTGTTTTTTGGTGCGGATTCTTCAGTTGCGGTCAAAAGATGGCCTCTGACACTCTGACCCTCTGAGGCTCACGGAGGAAGAGTAACACCTAAACACTTCATGTATGGAATATTAATATGTATACATAGACACATAGACATATAGACATAGACCCCTGAAACCACCCCAATGCATATGCCATACAAGGAATGTCTGGGACATATAAGCTTGGACTTGCGTGTTTCGGAAGCCGAGAGAGAGATATAATTCAAAAGAGTCTATGGGGGAAAGACCAATCACATCAGCAAAACAACAGTAGTCGACGTCACAAGCCCAAGTTCTTCAGTTTCTCCTGCCACCAGGTGGAGCTGCAAGTAGGCCAAGGCCGCCTTAGGGTCGAGACATGGACACAAAAACACGTGTTTTTCTTTGGTCATTGACTTGTTCAATCCGCGGACGATCCGCCGAAAGTTCCGGAGGTTGTTCAACTCAGAGGGCCGAAGTCACTCACCACTGCCGTAGAGCAGTTCTTGGAGCCTCCAGGACCCGCTGATATCTGATGCGCTGATGTCCTCGACGTGAACGTACTGATTCTCTGGACGTGCGTGCTTCGCATGTTTCCCGACTTCAGGCCTGACCTCGGTACCTGGAGCTAGCTGGACCCGACCATCAGAGGATCAAGAGCGGCGCCGTCGAAGTATTGGACCCTCCGAACTGGGTGACTGGACGAACGCAGGTTCCGCAGGGGTGACCCGAAGCAGACCTTCACCGAACGGGTCGGGTCCTTAGGGTTCTTAGGGTAGTGATTCTGGCCATGATCCATCCATCAACCCTGCTCAAATCTTCATCAAACGGTCCAAGTCCTTGCTGCTATTCCAGGAGGCGATTGAAACTCAAGGGATATCAGTGCCTTTTTCTATCGAATGGTAACAATAGAATCAAGGACCCTCAAAGGTGAAGGTTTGGTTCGGGTCCAAACCCCTGCGTTCTGCGAGTTCTGCAGGGTCCAAATCCTCCATACGAGAGTCCAATGATTCTTACGAATGTAACAATCTTCTCTTTCATGGGAAAACATGACGAGCTCAACCCACCGGTGTCGCCACACACCAATCTGGACGATGACGAGATCCAAATACATCCAAATACGTATACACCAAGTGTGGGATGCCATTGGATGTTGCTTCTTATGGATCCACTGCCACCCTCTGAGCTACGGGCTTATGTGTTCGACGCAAAGACCTTTGTTGGGATCCTGGTGGAGCTGATGCCATGGGGATCGGGCGGATCCCACGGATTCCGGAGCATCCGCATGCGTCCTCCGCGCAAGCTGTCCGTCTCTGCGGCCCAAGGACCATGCCCACGGCAGCGAAGCAAAAGCCGCACGTGCGCTCGAACGGCTCCTCCGACGCACCACGCGCGAAAACGAAGCGAAGACGAAGCGAAGGTCGGACTGGTTTCAACGAAACCGTCAAACATATGACTCGACTGTTCAGATTTATATAGTGAGTTCAACCATGTTCAATCATCCCCAAGTATAACGGTTGAAACACAAATATATCCAACACATTCCGAAACCACCCAGCCGAGGATGAATTTACTTGGTGAGAAGTTCACCGAAAACATCCGAAAGCCGAAATCGGTGTTGATTCCCTCAACAGAAACTATTCTTAGTACATACATGATGTGTTGATCTTGGAGCTCCAAGGTAGCACGTCCCTTACGACACTCATCCTGAATTAGACAAAGGAGAATGTTCAAACAGAAGGAATATTGGCATGTAGATTTAAGAACATGTGCATTGCATTCTGTCTATGAGGTATGGATTCCAACACCGGCTGGGATCTGCAACGTCGGTCAGAACGGCATCCGTTTCTTCCCAATTGCAGCTCACACAATACCCCAACAATTTCAATCTAATTACTACGTTGACCCCTCAAAACATTTCAAAACCACTTCACATGTATAAAGGCATTCCATGTCACACGTCGGGTGTAGTCATGTCCACATGGTCGTGGTGTGGACTCGGGGTAGACGTCTCACGCCGTGGTCCGGATGCAGAGCAACACGTGGTGGTCTGACGAAGCATGAGTGTTGTGGTCAATGATCCGGTCAGACCTGGTGTCATTTCCCTAGGATTCAGGGCCCACCAGTGTTTTCATGGTCTGAATCCCAAAGAACCAGCTGTTTTACTAAGGATTTTGCATTACACCACCCCACCAGCTCAACCGTTCTTTTAATGGTCGAACTGAAGGCTAGGGATTTATGATCATGATATGATGCTCTTGGCAATCTTGGCATTACACCGCCAGGCCACCAGGGGGTCCCGGATCCAAGAAGGGGCCCATCTGTCTCAGGCCAAGGCACCCAAGTATCGACTCAATATCATGATCATAAATGAAATCCTGGCACCTTTGCTGCGTATGTCAGGAAGAATGCAGCAAAGTCTCCTCCTGCTGCTCAAACAAATCGAAATGAACCAGCCAGCGAGTGGCCAGCATGAGCATGAGGAATCCTCAGAATCGAAAAGACTCCGAGTGAGATAAAACAAATAAAAACCAACATCTGTCAAGAACTTGATCCACCAATGAATCCTACATGCATAGGTGGTGAAAAAGAGCTGCACGGTCCATCTTCACCTTCCGGAGATCTCGAGACCGCAGAGTGGGGTGGCTATAGAAATGATACCGATTGCTGGCATCAGTTTCTGTGTAAAGAATCTCCCCTGCAAACGTTCACATATTGTGGTTTGCCATCATCATGATTGTGTCTCACAGTCACACACAACTAACTAGGCAGGCATATCGACACATGTTCTACCGATAGGCTCCGCTATGCGCTGTGCTGCCGGGGGCACCCGAGGTCTCAAGTAGTCGCTTGGAGGACATGAAATGCCACTCTGCCAGAAAGCCATGCTGGTGCGCATACCTCGCCGTTTTCGCCGGCCGCGTTGGACGAGACGAGGGACGATCCGAACCAGAAACATGCACCCGGTGTTGGGTGAAGAAAACCGTTAGCTTCAAGGTGCCATTTGGTTTGCTTTAAGGGAGTGGAACTTTCCAAAGCCCATAGACAATCTATAGACATGTGCAGATGGACGACATTTCTCGAGATCATATCGCCATCGTGCTGGTCCTGTGAATCCCAGAACCAAAAAACAATTGGTAGGGTAGGTCCAACAGGATTTTCTGATTGGAACCACTGCTGAGCCCTCCAAATCGTGGGTCACCTGGAAGAAACACATGCCTCATCATACCCAAACACACACACTTTTGGCCCCCTTCCCTTCTCCATTGTGTGGAGAAGCGGCGGAAACCGCGCAGAACGCGTGAAACAGCCTTTTCCGGCGCGGAACGTGTTTCACGCGCGCGCGCGCGCGCGCGGAAGAACGCTTGGAAAACTGCCAAAGAAAGCGCGGAGAACCGCGGTTCAAGAAAAACCCTATATACAGACGGGTGCGGGGTGCGGAGAAGCGATCCCATCAGCCAAAAAGCGCGGAACCGCTCAAGAAACCCCATACAGACGGGTGCGGGTGCGGGAAACCCATCAGCCGAGCCGTTCCGCCCAGGTGCAGTTCCAAGCTTCCAATGTTGGATCCCAGGAGCTCCTCGTCGAGAGACATTCGGCTCCCGGGGGACCGGCGCAGGGCTCCGATGGGTGGATGGTTGAACAAAAGGACGGACCGTGGTTTTTGACCGTGGTTTAAGCGGAAACGAAAAAAAGAAAAGGCCATGCAATATATTAGCTAGACCTTTTTTTGGGGGGGTGGGTTCATATATGATCCTATTTTTAAAGATGTATCCAACATGTGCCCATGCCATACACCCAGAGGTCAAACATCACCGACACCTCCCTGAATCCCATGTGCTAACGATATCCAATTAGCACCAAAACCAGGTACTGCTCGATTACTCAAAGCAGTGAAACGTACACTCTCTGAGTCATTATGATGGAAGTGGTGAATCACCTAGTGTGTAAAAGAACATGGTCTTCCAGGAGCTTCCCAGGCTCCAAGCGCCCAAATGTCCACGATTCCATGACTTCCATGCAGCCATGCATTCCATCAGTTCACTTCTCACCTCAAGGACGGGAAACAAGTCCTTTCTTTCTTCGTCGCGTCTGCCCCCTGGATCCTTCCGACACAACCTGGATCTTCCGCTCGTTGTGCGCCTGGATCTTCACTCTTCGAAGGCTCCAAGCCCCGGACATCACCCCAAGCCTCGACGAAACGCGTCGTCGGACAACGCCGCGAAACGCTCGAAACGCTCGAGCCGCGGCCGGCGCAGAGTGGACCGCAGAAAATTCGGAGTCAACGACCAGCACCCGACTCTACAGGTCTCTGCTGAACATGGAGACGAATCACGCAGCAGCAGTGGGCGATGTGGGGCGCAAGCAGAGTCGCATGCAGCATGTCAAGCGGCATTCATTCGGCAGGTCAAGGCTTTTGGAGACTCAGGTCAGTGGCAGGTGGAGACCTGTGAAGTCGGGTGCTGGTAGCTGTGGCCTGGATCCTTACAGAAGACGTTTTGGCAATCTGGATGCTTCTAGGATTGCAGCGATGTAAAGGATGGCAACAAAGTAATTCTCTCGTCTGTTGATCTCTGACCACTGACAAAAATGCCTCCAAAGTTGAACAAAAAAGCCCTTGAATCAGGAACCAACATGATCAGGAAGTACGTATATAGCAAAATTGTAGATAATTAAGTGTAACCCGTGTAAGCCAAAAGCAGGACACCTGCTAGGTCCCATATCAGATTCAACAGCGACCCGGTTGGTGTTTTCTGATAGAGAAGACCTCGCACTGAACACCTGAGAAACAAAACAAACGCAACGCAGGGATTCTGGTGTTGGGGGTGTTTTCCCTAGTCCGATACACACCCATTTGGAGGTCAGTCTAACACCCAAAGAAGAACCCCTTCGACAGTGGCGAATCGGTATTCACTTCTCGCTCGCACAACATCCAAACCATCCATCCATGTTGATTTTGGGCCACTGTTGCACTGCTCATCAGTCCAAGTCACAGGTAGCACGTGGTGGTGATTGTTGTGATGGTATCCTTGGGGCTCCAACGATGGACCCAGGCCATCCATGGGAGAAAATCTGCGTGGGGGTGGACAAAAAGGCATGTAACTGCAAAATGGTCAGTGGATGGGACTCCAAAGTTGGGTCACATATTGAAGAAATTAGATATTGACGATATTGGATGATATTGGAAAATTGACATAACCTGCACAGGGCCCTAAAGATCTCAAATTCACCCCACCGATGGGCACACATTGAATACCATGGATTGTCCGGGATTGAATCTGTTCATCCCTAGCGTTCCTGGCTGACCTTCGTTTCGTTGTCCCTGTCGAATATGGTTGGAGTCTCTAGGGTACATACAATCGGAGATAAAAAGAGAACTCAAACTGACAGTACCCAAACCATCCATGTAGATGGAATAGTTACATACATTTACTCCGTGTATGACCTCAATATAGGTAATAGTAACTATTTCATAAATAGATGGTCTGGCGTTGAAGATGTGCATGTGTGCAAGTCTTCGAATGATCTATTTTATGATTACCCGGAAGAACTCAGGGTTCTCAAACACCGTTTTGATCTTCTTTTGAGGCGATAACCTCAAGCCACCTGCCACAAAAGGTCTGGACCAGACGTCCACAGCCCTGCGATGAAATCCCATCGTTAGTAGTACCTTCACCACACCCTGGGTCTCCAAAGGAAAGAACTCACTGGAGACAAGTAGGATCTAAGTGATCTGAGGAACTACCTATCCCCAAAAGTCATAGAATCAATTAACTCTTGATTGATCTTCGCACCAGTTCGCTACCTGGGAGTTGCCATGTTCCCTTTCTGAGCGAACAAAACAGGCACCGTGCACCAAAGAACGCCTCCAAGGCTCGTAGAACTCTTTCCCACTGCTTTGCCAAATGATCAGGCCAATCAATGCGCCCACACCCACCAGAAGACCTTGGAATTTTACGAGCCAATTAGGTTGGCCATCAGAAGACCATCGCTATTAGGTGGGAGACCATTGCTATTAGGTTGGAGGCCAAAGGTTTCAGAGATTGGCGCCTCAGATCCCTGGTGTTTCGTGACAACCAAATCCAAATGTTTGAGGTCTTTGACTTTAGGGATAAGGCACATGCCCGGACTCGATTTCAAGTACCCTTGAATCATGGGACACGACCCCAAGAGTACAAAAAATTGGTATGCCACTTTTCCGAGGTACTTTGAGGGGCCAGGTATTATAACGGCTGTTTACATGTGTTAGACTGTCTTTGGGTGTGGCTTAAGGAATATTCCAAGTAAAAGGACACCAACATCCCAGTCTTGTGTGGTCTCCAGAATGCGTCTGGGTCGAAACTGTCTTACTTACAGCATATTATTGTCGGTGCCATGTCAAAACAACCTTAGCTCAAACATCATGACCAGGCGGGAGCTCCGATGCCCTGTATCCAAGCGTTGCAACATGTTGCAACACCAATTGAGCCTTCTTGTTCGGTGGAAACACAGCCCCTCTCGTGTGAATCCCTCAGGCCAACTGAAACGAGTAGGGAGCGGAGATCTCTCTATCGCGGCTGCACTTCAGACTCGCTTCTGCTCCATTCGCTGGGGAGGCTGGCTGTGATTCTTTGGTTCTGGGAAGAAGACCAGATCTGACCAGCACCATTTGATGGGGAAGTTCATAGATCCCACTGACTAGGTCTTTTCGTTCAAATCACCACCCGACATGGGTGGTGCTGGGACAAACGCTGTTTGTATCATCTCCTGTGTTTTACATGGCCTCCCAATGTTCCAGCGATTCGGCCAGAACATCGCTTTTGCTGGTTTTAAGTCGTGACCTTTGGAGACCAAAGGCCAAGTTCACCTTCACCGTGTCCCGTGGGCGCCATCCGCCCTTTTCCGGTCACCAGTGACGACCGCTCCGAGGGGCTGAAGATCCAGATGCGTAGGAGGACGAAGGGCCAGGTTTGCGGGCTCAGGATACCCATGAGGTGCAAGAACACCTGCAGCGTGCAAGTTGCACACCTGGAGTCGGAGGGTAAAAGAACGTCGGTGAGATCGGACATGAGATACTCTCCCTGGAACTAACATGGTTACGTGGATGGCACCACCTGTTTGTAGTGGATTTCATGGTCTTCCTTTCGGGGCCATTCTCCACGTAACCATGTTAGTTCCAGGGAGTGTATCTGACATGAAATTTGGGTGAGATCTGACGAGCTGTGGAGATCATGCTTTGATCATCCTGGCAGTGTTTTGCAGTAAACATCCTTGAAACCCACGTGCCAGAACTAACCAAGTCGTGAGTGCCAGGGTTGAACATGCAATGCAACATTCCAATTGCCAGCTCCAACAACACACATCGTGGAAGACGAGAATTCAAATGAAACATCCTGGCAAAATCAACAGGATGTCATCTTTCTGACTGAGAATCAATCAATGAATCAATTGTCAGGTACAACCTGGAGTGGGCAAATGGCAAATGGCCAGAGTTCAGTTGTCATGGAACTTTCATGACAGTTGATCAAATCGTATCCAAAGTTTACTGTTTACTGTAAGTCAATACTCAGGTTTTATAGCTAGTAAGTATGTGCGTGTGAAACTGTTGATCTTGGAACGGCGTTACTTGAACTTTCAAACCTCACATGCAAACATTCAACAAAAGATGCATGGAGACCTTTCAATCGCCTCAAAAAGGCACGACGTTCAGTTCATCACCCTTGGATTCATCATCTTCTCTACGACGCTCCCGAGGCGCTCGTGCGGTGCAGGGCATCGGGCTATAGAAGTCCAGCCTCGACCGCTCGGGTTTTCCGATGTTTTCCGGTCCCTCGCTCGGTCGGTATCCGAGCTGGGCTCCTGCAATAGATCCTGAGATCGGATCTGGGTGGGTTTGGAAGGAACTGCCAAACCTGAGGATATGGGCCAGGAGCCTAGGAGTATCTCATAGTCTCATAGTAGGGTTCAGTGGATGATGATGGTTAGTAAAGACCTTTCTCAAAACTCGTGATCATATTCGTCCGACCTTTTTTGGGGGTTTACTGGGCCAACCCAGCTGGGTCCTTCTCCAATGGAAAGGTTTGGCTTCAGGTCCGGACCCCTCCTTTGCTGAGGCTTCTGGTTTCCACCAACTCATCGGGCCTGGACATGAAGGAATTCAGACGCTCCATGGGATTGCAAATATATATCATTATATAAAAGAATTTGCTGCTTTCCGGGTGGTGAAGGACAATGGCCATAGTGGCAGTTCAGGCATGGAAGGTTACCCTAATCCCATCTCGCTTGGGACAGAGCGACCCATCGGGGTGACCTGGCGGACCTTGGGCAGGTCTAAGTATCAGGGCTTGGTCGGGACTAAGGATATCCAATGAGGATCAATGAGGGTAATCGCAGTGCACATCAGCTTTTGTGGAAAAATGGGAGGACCATCTTCAAGGCTCAAGATACTGTTGGCTGCCCAAAGAAACCCTTTCCACTCATGTGGCCATGGGACAAACCCAGGGCGGTTACGAGCCGCTCTCCGTGCTCTCCAGTGCTCTCCTATGTCCGGTCCTAGACTCTCCGTAGGTCATGGGTCATGGGCCCTAAAACACACACAAAACAAACATCACATGGTGAGTGACCTCGGAGTGCCTAAGTGACCTTTGACAGGCCCGTTCGTGACCGAAACACATCGAGAACAACCACCAGTCGGGGTGGTGAATGGACACTCTGAAGAACAGCTAAGGGGCGTCTCAATAGACACCCCGACAGGAGGGTCCTGGTACAAATGCATTAATATTTGAAGGTACTTAGAGGGTCCAGGCTCTTGTAGATAGATACAGGACTTCATAGGAATTCCACATGCCTTACCAACTGGCACAAAGCCTCAACACACAGCACCCACTTATCATTATTGGGGACTCCCAGTGAGATCCAAAGAGCTTCCACTTGGAAACCCCACCAGATTTGGTCGCTTGCTCTGTCGCCCGTCTCCAACCGTGGCGTGTTGATTGGACTCTCCCTGCAGCGTTTTCTCCCTTGGATTCCTGATGTCGCCCCGTACCAGGAAACTTTGCCTTCGCCGCCGCTTTGGGCGTTGACATCGATGTTTCTGGGTGATCTTTTATTTTTGATCGATTTACCACGAGGACATCGGAGGACATCGGGGGGTTGATGTGTTTTTTGCCGAAAACACTCCCCTAGCCTTCCAAAACCATCAGGATTCAAAGAAAGCTGGACCCGGTTTAGTAAGGCAATGGCTCTTCTACCAAAATCCTTAGATCAATGAGCCAGCACTCCTATATCTCTCCAACCCTACGCAGCCCAACCCTATAGTGGCACCCCCCACCAAACAGAGGGGGTTTTCCCCCCAAACCCCCAAAAGGCGCGCCACGCGGTGGAGTGGGTCTCCGCAAAGCCCTTGGACGCCGTGTTGGAGTTGGCCAGCGAGCGCCTTGGACGCCGAGTCTGGAATTGACGCGCTGCCGCTGCCACGGTTCCGAAGCTGGGAGTAATGGTATAGACTCTTGATTAATACCCTATAGGGATCCAGTGGTACCTTCTCAGAGTGTCTCCAATCACCTTCTATTACAATATGTGATAATGCCCTACAAAGGTAGCCAGTAACCTGAACTAGGACCCGTACCGAACTAGGATAGTCTAATTCGGGTTCTGACCCACCTCTGCTGGACTCTTGATTATATATATATAAGGACATATAAGGACTATACCAGTGTCCAGAAACCACCCGTGGTGGGGTCTCCAAACAGCCTGGCCAGGAGGGTGGTACATGACTATAACCCCCCCCCCAGGAGGTTGACAACAGCTGGCTTCAAGAGGTATAAGATGCCCTAGGGATCCAGTCGTACCTTCTCAGGTACGGTGGTTGGAGACACTGTTATGTAGACTCTTGATGATTGCCTTTCACCCCCAAAGCCTGAAGAGGCGTTTCAATTTTAATGGGGAGGGGGTAATGAATCAAGAGTCTACATTACCTGAATGTTTGTTCGGGTATGTTTCGGGTCAATGTTCCATTTTCTTCAGGTATGAACTGGGCCATGAAGCATATCGCCACGCGCCTTAGCGCATTAGCGCAAGGCGGGGAACTGGATTCATGCCACGGCCGGAACCGGGACCTGGGACCAATTAGATCTTCCTACTCTGCAAGTATTGCAATTGTCATCTATATAACTAGCCAAGTTCGTCAGAATTGTTGCATATATAGCTGGAAGATCATCCGGATGATCCAGGTCTGACCAGCAGTTCCAGGTCAGGGTGAGAGGAACTCGTCTCCAGGTGCCCCTGATGGTCACGGCCGCAAGTCATGGCAGTCAACACGACCCCTAGTTGTCCACTCCTGGTATGCACTTGTGCCCCATTTGAGCTCCTTTTCGAAGATGGTTCCAGGGATCCGGTTGGTAGGGGGTCATCGCTGCCGAACCTGAAAAGATGGGCCGTTTGGAGCCCGGTCCCGGTACTGCCTGGTACTACCTTCGAGGGAGGAGTACTACCGCTGGCCCTACCCCAGGTCCAGGAGCTGCTCGGAGTACATCTCATCTCCGACATCAGAACTGATCCAAACGACGTAACGACGTCCAATGACTCCGAATATGAATGACAACAGCAGGTTTCAGGAGGTATAAAATGGTATAACTCAGACACTCAAACACTTCAGCCCTTTCCTGGTCCCGAACCAAACCGATCGGGGCTTTGTTTCGAAAGGATGCGACTCAAGGATTCGGGTCCTCCTCCACCGGGTCCAGGGATTCTTCAGCAACAGCCTTTGTGTCACCAGATACACCAGTGGTTTCTTCAGATCAGTACAAACCGAGACCTTCTTCTCCACGCCGCTCTGAAACAAGCGGCGCTTTGGCATCATGCTTGTCCTGGAGCTCATCCAAATCCAAATGCCTCACCCATCCAAGAGGTCAAAAAACACATGTTTTTCCGAAGGCGGAGGACAACTCACTCCCATTTCAAACAATGACTTTGGGTAAGCAGCCTGGGAAAGTGATTTGGATCGGTTGCTCAGCCGCAACAAAAGCTTTGCACATGTTATCCTGCCAAATCCTATATCACCAGGGCCCAGTGGATGATGATGACGACGACAAAAGATGGTGTTGCATGGAATGCTTAGCTTGCAAGCCTTAGTTCCAAATAGTTGTCTGCTTTCTTATCGTTGACCGAGAGATTACACCCTTCCCTTCCCGCCTCGGATTGTCTCCTAAGATCTCCTGCCGCTCCATGCTGCCCATGCGGCTCATCCTCGATCGACCGATGCGATGGGTATGGTCACCGTTTTGGTCGAAGGAGGGTCCAAAGGACCAAGCGGAAATTACGACAAACATCGACAACATTTTTCATCTTATAGGGTTTAACCTCAGATCTGCTAAGGGTTTAACCATGTTTAACCTTTATAGCGGTTGTTGCCTTTTCGCTCTGTTCGTTTCTGCAAAGAAAGGCTCCCCC